TAGAATGAACTGTCACTCTGAAGAGTGAGATCTCACTCTCAAAGATTGAAAATTGAGTCACTCTTTTACAAGAGTGGTTTAGTTTTCACTTTTCAGAGTGAGATTTCACACCAAAGAATTTAGAGAGTATTTACGAATTGTTTATTTAAAAATTAAGATTTTTATATATTATTTATAAATTTATAATATATAAATTTACTTTTAAAAATGTGGTATTTAAGCGTGGGAAAACATGCGTGTGTAGTTTCTTTCACTATAGGTTAAGAAATAATTACGAAAATAGAAATTCCTTTGCAACGAAAATCATTAATACATATTGAAATATATAGATTTTTCAAATATTTGTACAATGCACTAAGAAAGAAAAATACTAAATCTTAATAATTTTTTTCAATAGCACTAACTATAAACATTTGCTTACAGTAAATAAATATTTATCTACTCAATAAAAAAATGATAGTTAAAAATTAATGGTTCTTATATCAAATAAATATATATGTTTACATTTAGTAAATATTTAATTATATTCAAAAAATATTTAAAAATTTTATTAAAATTTTTATTAAATTTTAGTACATTTTTTCAGTATGTGTAGTAAAATGATCTCACCATTCTGATATATTTATACTTTATACGTGCAATAACTTTGCAAGGAAAAGTCACGAACATTCTCGACTTCAAACAGTGTTTGAATAACGATCGATTATATTACTTAATATTCATTGCATTTTATATTACTTTATTCAGCATCTATGTATTTAAATTAAACGAATTGACACTTCTTTAACCCATGTTTTTCTACAACTGTTATAAATTGTATCAAAATGTAATATTTTATAATAGCATTTATACTGCAAAATTATAATCACAGTAAAAAATCCTATTTAATCTTCAGAATCGTTATTTTACTCTCCAGAATATATGCTATAAAATATTACATTGTTCAAACAATTCCAAATATACGTAAAGAATAAACCTTGTCTCTCGAACAAATGATTAAAATGATCGATTCCCGATGCTCAATTTTTTGGACAGTTCAAACAAAGGGAAACTCAAGAGAGCGAAAATAATATCAAAACCGCAAACAATAATAACAAACTTTCGCATTTTCCTTACTTTTATATTTTATCGGAATCAGATTCGTCAATCAAATCAAATCAAATTATTCGGTTCTATACGCCTAACTTATAACGTTGAAATTTTTTCTGGTTCAAGCAGGAGATTCGAATTATCGTAAAATTCTGAAAATGTAACTTGGCTATCTACTGTTGAATTTTCAATAGACTTATACAAAGAATTTCGAAACAGCTTTTTAAAAGCTCTTTTTGATGCTCGTGTGTAAAGAAAAAATGAGTACTGTATTTATTTGTATTTTTAGATTCAACTGTGCGATATGTAATAATTGTATACTCATTTTTCTTTCAAGTTATAATTAAAGTAAACGTTGGTCAACTAAAATGACGCACGTTAATTATTATTTAAAATTCATTCGAAAAATATTTTGAACCTTAATAAGTTAAGACACTTTATTCGTTATATTTACCTAAATGCTTAGCTTAAGCGCTTTCACAACATACAGATAAAAGGAACTATATATATATAGAAATACAATTGACGTGAGCTCTATGATTATTCTTTCGAAGGCCTGCTTTTTCTTATTGTTATTGTTAGAATACTGAAACCAAAATAGGAACTACTATGATAATCTTCTCCGAAAATAGAAATTTAAAATATGCAATGCTTTATACAGTTCAAAAAATTTATATAAGTCACTAGAATTCGTACAAAATCCAAATTAGATTAGAAATGAACGTTTATCAAACTTAAATTACTCTATCTAATCTAAAATTGATGTGACATTTCCTGCAATAATCGCTGAAGAGAAAAACTCGGAAAAACAACATGTGATATAATTTAATTAAATTTAAATGAAATATTATTCGTAAACAAAATAATCAAGGAAGTCATCGTTCAAAGAAAAATACAATTTCTAACTAAAGGGCAGGACAGATAGAATTCATAGGTCAAATAGATATTTATTCCAAAATCATTGTGTCTGTGACAAAACATATAACGTCTGTTGGTGACGTAACACGCTTAACGTATACCCTCATTCATTCGCTCGCACTCACACTAATTATTCCCACATTTTCTCTCTCTTCTTGTTTCTTTTTTTTTTAGTAAACTTAATATTTATTAATAATATATCCTTTTTTATGCTTTTCTTATGCAGTAGATATAATATTTCTTCTATTTTCGCCCCGTATGTTGCAGGTTCATACACATATAATTTGCGATGTTATTTAACTGTTGATTGTGTAAGTGTCTAATTACATGTCGCACGTGATATGGCGCCAAGCCACTTACTTTAGCTATACGCCACGCAATTTCCCGCATAAATAAATTCAAGATCTGCGCCGCGTGAACGACACGATTTTCCTTTCGATTTCGAGGAATATCTGTCGCAGATAAAAGTGCATCCGTGATCCGAAAAGATTATCGTTGAAAGAGAAATGGAAACCATTTAAAATGGTTGACTCTTCGACACTGGAATAATCTTGATTGGATTCTCCGTCAAGAGAAATTTCTCTATTTTTTAATTATTTCTTTAATATTTCCTTTAATAAAAGCTGCAGTTAAATGATACACGTAACTTTAAAATATAAACGTAAACAACGTTTGCAATTTTAACTTAGCATATAAAAGTACATCATAAAGATAACAATTTGGAAAAATTTAATATATTTCTATCGGAACAAACAATCAGTACAATCTCTGATTTTTATTAAAAAAAAAACTATGATAAAATCGTTCAATAATTGTTACAAAATATCTGTAATTCTACTTGAACCGTAATTCTGTCAGAAAAAAAGACAAAATTCCTATATAATTAAACAGAGATGACACAAATTTGTTTCAACGTGGAGAAGTTAATTCTGCAGATTGTTATGTGTCTTAAAACGTTAATCATATTTCCTTGCTCATCAACAGGGTGTCTTTTTCTTCCTTTGATTTCTCGACCAAAGGTTCCCGCGAGCCAATTCGTAACACTCCGATCACACTCGATTTCGTCGCGCGTCGCCCACGAGATCATTTTCCTAGGAAAACGGAAACGCTTCGCTCGTTCATTTCCCTCCTCGTCGTCAAGAGGTTCTTCTTCTCGCGATCGTATGATCGTATGTCTCGTACGAGGAAATGAAAATCGTCCTGAAGACCATTCCGAGAAGTCTGTCGAACACGCGATGCTCGTATGAAAGTAAACTCCTGTATACTGAACGCGCAACGCTAGGGTTTAGGAAAGTGACCCGCAAAAATTATTCATCAATATACTTTTTATTCATATTTTATTATTGTGCTCGGCTTATGATTTTGATATTGAAATTTTTCTTTTCAGAACTGGAATGACTAAAAGTACAAAATATCTCCAAACGTACAGTTTAGCTGCTGTTTTCAAGGCCAGATCTTCAAGGAGAGCAGACCGCTAACGTTACTGATAAAAAGATACGAAAACATATAATATACACATATCTATTCTAAATAGTGCTCTCCCTAGTTTTTAAGCCTGTTCTTTTTAGCTAAACTTTTTGTACGGTTTATTTTTCTTTTATCTTTTCTTCTTTAACAGGGGAAAAAAGAGGAAAGCTGAATAGTGCAAAAAGAACAAGCATTAAGCATATTTCATCTTTCTCTTTTACTTTTATCGGAGAGAAAAAGAAAAAAGATGAACTATGCAAGAAGTTTGGCTAAAAAACAGATGTCTTATCTATATTTTTATTAATTTATAATGCGCCGCTTGTCGAGCAACGTCGGTAAATGTGAGCCGAATTAGCAAACACAAACGTCATATCTTTTCTCTTTCAAATCGAATGTCGAACTCCTCGACGATTTCAGAAGGATTTTTTTCTACACAGACAAATTCGATGACGATCATATAGTTTACCGATATATCTTGAGAAAAATGGCTAACTAATTCTTTAATTAGATCAGCTAATTCATTGATAAACAACGTAGGATAACATAGTGCGTCTGTTCGTTGTACAAAGTGCGATATACAAATTCAAGAAAAATAATGAAAGTAAAAGTGCGTCTATAAAATAAAAGCAAAGAAGACGAAAGAAGACGAAAATACGAGAGGAAAGATCAATCCTCTTGCCGTTATCGCTCCGATTGGCTTCTAAGATATCGCGTAGTTGTAATTTAAACTTTGCAATTGCACCACGTAAAAGCGTGCGATCTCTACACTTCCCTGTAGCTACTGTTATTCATATCTGTGAACATCACTGTCGTGATCGAACTCGTCAACCTCTTTGTCAAATTTAATCTCACGTCAATACAGTGTAATCGTTTATCATAAAGCCACTTTAAATATGGCCATCGCACGTACGTTATTAAGCCTTTTTTCTTCAATCGGTATCGTAAGGCACATTTTTCTTTCTTTCGTCCCGAATCTCTCGAAACCGAGCCAAGTGGGCGTCTCGCGCGCGATCGAAATCGACGCAACTCGGGAGCACGTTAATCAAACCTCCTCCTCCGTCCGTATATGAAGAAAAATAATTTCTTCGTCGACAAGTACACGGAAAATTGTCGCTACATCGAAAAAAAAAATATTGCTTTAATTAATAATCCAAATTATTACTTAATAATACTATTGAAATAATAATTCGAATTATTACTTAAGAATATTGTTCAAATTGATAATATAAACTATTGAAATCATTGATTACAGTCAATAAACCATATTGTCAATGCCATAATTTGAGATTAATAAAAATAATCCTACAAATTCTGTGCATTTTATTTCGCGACGCGAATCGACAAACTTTTTCCTACGACTCGCTACCGCCTTACTGAATTTCATTTGCGTTTTCTATTTTCGGTAAAATGTTTACACAAATAATAGCGCATAAAAATAACATAAAGTATCCAAAATTAAGATATAAAATGTCTTTGGCTAAGAATCTTAAAGACCTTATATCTTAATTTTAGACAATTTTGTGTTATCTGGGTATATATCTTTTGAAATCATGTACCAAACAAAAATATACGACTATATTTTTTATGTATGATGTTTTCTTCTCTTTCTCTTTTCCTCCTTTTTTTCTCCCTGTTAGCGGCGGGAAACAACGTCAGGTATCGCAATAAATATCAAGAAGCTCGGTGATAACACGAAGCGTATGCTGCGTTAGAACCTGGCCCTAATATAAACAGCCGAAGCGTCGTGTGCACCGTATCCCAGACGTCTTGCATGCTTGTACACTTCGTTCGCTGCGGCAGCCAATGGTAATGGGTGCTCCAATTGATCGCTCATGCTTAACGACAGTCGCAGGTCCTTCTGCATATGTTGTAACGGTAGCTGAGTAGGGAAACCGCCTTCAACAATCGCTGCAAAGCAGAATATTAAGAATAATGTTAATTACGAATTTAATGCGCAGACTCTATTAATTCTCAACTAGTTTGTAGAACCCAGGACAGGTAATCATTAGAACGATTATTGTTATATATTTATTGAAATATATGATTATTAAAATAAAAATTATAAGACCTACGTAAAGATAAATTATAAAGTTATTAGAGATGTAAGTTACTAGTGATGTTTTACTATCAAAATTATTAGAAAACTGCATATTGGTATTATGTTGATTCGACTAAGGATTAATGCAGACGTGAATAAAATAAGTGATCAAACAAATTGACATCTACCTTTGCCTTTTTCAAGAATTGCCGGACATGCTAAAGATGTCAACTCCAGGACTTCTAAAATATCTTTCTGCCGAAGTCCAGCACGATCCGCTAGTGCCATGCTTTCGGCCAGAGCGGCCAGAGTAACACCAGCCATTAATTGAAGTACAAGATTCATCTTGGAAGCATTGCCGACCTCGCCAAGGAAGAAGCTATTTTTGCCCATTGCCTCGAAACAAGATTGGCATTCATCGAAAAGTGACCGATCTCCAGCAGCAAGAATGACCAAAGTACCTTCTTGCGCTTGAGTTTTACTTCCTTGTACCTGTGCTTCAAGATAGCGACCACCTTTGCCATTTATCGCTTCGGCGATATCTTGAGATGTCTCTGCGTCAATGCCAGTCATTTCAACGTAGCTTTTATCTGGCGATATCTCTGTTAGAACACCACAATTACCAAAGACCATCTAAAAAAAATTTAAACACGATAAATATACAATGAACTATTTTGAAGGATAAGATTACTTTTAAAGAATGACATTTGAATTTAACAAATACTTACATCCTTAGCAGCTTGAGGGTCAGCCACGCAAGAGAAAGTAATATCGGCGGCCAGGACGACATCGGACGGCGTCAATCCTTGCTTAGCTCCCGCTTTCACAAAATCTGTACACTGCAAAAAGAAATACATAACGTATGTACAAATTAATTTTATTACTCTCTTGATTATCCATATATCTTACAATTTCAAAATACGCGGTTTATGAGAATTTTAGGATTGAAGACTTAGGTAATAAAAAACTAAAATGTAAGGCCAAAGAATGAGGGATTAAAATACAATTTCATCCTAAATTTTAATATATAAAAATGCTAAATATTCAAAAATATTGCTGTTTCCTTATGTTTATTAACTGTAATAAAATGTATGATTTTTTTTTTCTAATATTTGTAGCAAATAACCTGTATATATAAAATTAAAAACTTATTTATAAATATTTTCATAATATTTAATTGCAATTTGATCAAATAATTTTATATTTTATGTAATTTATATATATATTATACATATAATATTTTTAATTTATATATATTATATATATTAATTAAACATTACAATTAGATATAAATATATACAATCGCGCGGGCAAAATTCAGTATCGTGGCGCCATCCAACGTGAGAAGGCGCAGTCATAATTAGTACCACTTGTTGCCGAGAGATGGCGGCACCGCGCCATCGCGTCGTTCCGTTCGTCGAACATGCTGCAACAAAGAACGTTTCTCGACACACCGGCCACATCAGCAAACGACGCCATTGTTGCCACGAGTCGAGTTTTCCCGGAATCCTCATGAATACCCGCGGAATTTCTCGCCGGAATTCCAACGAGAGGATTTCACAGGAATTGCAAGCGAGACGCATTCACGAGAATTCCTGTGGAATCCTCACGATTAATGCCTCCTATTATCTCGATCGTGACGAACATGGCGGACGAGCCGTGTGCTAGCAATTTTATTCTGTATGGCTCGAACGCTTTCGAATTTTCTCGTATGCCTCCCACGATAAACTGGTTAGGGTGCGGCTGTCTATCACGTAGGCCATCTCCGAGGTGGCTTCTCGTCGGGAACGAGGCCAACGAGTCGACAACAGTACGATTTGCCGCTTATCACGTCGACGAATTGTTCTCGTCTCGTGGCCATCAATCGCTACGGAGCATCTTTTTCCCTAATCCCTCCTTGAAGTCGATGCGGAGTCTCGGCGACGAGCTCTCACGTCGACATCGTCAAAATTCGCCATGTTCGTACTTTCGACAGGTGATATCGTCGCGACTGCTTTGTGAGATCCTTCCGGCAGTTTTAGCGTGACGACCGACGCCATTCCAACTGTTTCTCTCGCAACAGTCGCAACATGCACGCCACACCATAATAGACCTGTTTTTTTTTTATTTCTAAACTAAACTGCATTATAGCTTTCTTTCTCGCCAAATATCGAACATATATCTATTTCGTTTTTAGTTCTAAAAGCGTATACTGATTCAGCTACAGAAAACAGACTCTACGTTTGACAAAAAAATAGTTTTGCAACTGTTGTATTCTTTAATTCTTTAATATAATTTTTAGATTAGATTTTTTGTACGTTTAGATCCATCGAGGAACTAAAAGTATATCAAAAAATCTTATAACAGTTACAAAGCTGCTTTTCTGCTAAGACAACTAATGGAGCCGATTCTGTAACTCTTTACGACAGTCGTTGATGTCGCAGTTTTTTTATTCTACATAATATCTGCGCAACATCAACGACTGTCGTTAAGAGTAATAGAATCGGCCCCTTATATTGATATTGCTAGACTTGAAAAAGGCCGATGCTCGACCTCGAGCCGCTACAAAATCAGTTGAGTAGAGTGACTCAGAACAAGAATACTCGAATATCTTTCTCAGAACCAGAGTTAGATGAATGAATATACGAAGCACGTAGTGCGTTTCCAACGATCCCTACTGACTCCCTACATTCATTACAAGTAGACTGCGGAACTTTATGCAAAATACTTAACTGAATGTTTTGCATAAAATGCATATTTTGCAATTTTGTAAATTTACAGATGGCAATCTCAATCTTTTTACTTCACCTTTTAATAATTCTTTAACGAACAATGATTGACTGCTAAAACTATCCGATAGTTAATATTCAGTTAAGTATTTGCATAAAGTTCCGCAGTCTATTCATAAGATATCATCCTTCGATTTTAAATTTCTCGTTTCAAAGCTGGTCGAGATGACTACGCATGATCGGTGTGATTGAACACAACGATGATATATCTTTCAACGTAAAAAGTTGTTCAGTTTGAAGAGGAATTTATAATTTTGTAATAAGCCTGAACAAGAATTTCTGTTTGGGCTCACTTCTTTATCTCGGGTTCGAGAGCGTCAGAAATATCACTTTTCTAGCTCGTTCGTTTCTTACAGAAACCTAATATCGGTTAATATACTAAAAGACGATTATTTATTTTCAAAGTTGAGAAAGTTATTTTACAAGTTACTTATAAGTTACTTTTTGAATTACCTTATATACATTTATTACAGAAATTGTGTACAATAAGTTCGGGTATTTTATTCTCTCTTTATACATTATATTTTATCATTTCCTCCAATTTCGTATTACTTTTTGTACTGAATTTTTATAACATATATAAAGTAATCTAAAGAGTAATTTATAAGTAACTTAAAAAATAACTTCCACAATCCTGCTTATTTTAAGTATTAAAAGCATTGTTGTTCAGTACTTTTAATACGTCAAATAAGTAATTAATTACTGTCTTTCAATGATAAATTGGTCAGTATTAGATTTCTGTAATGGGAGCCGTCCAAATGAGTGTTCCACGCATTTTCAACGTGCCTTCCAAGTCGCATAAGGTTCTCGAGCGTTCTCTTTCCGGTGACTCAGCGTACGTATCAAATGTACGTGTCATATCAAACGCGATTCAACGTTATACATCAAATAATATCGCAAATTGCACGTCGGTTTTCTTCAGATCTTACGAAAGTTATATAATTTCGGAGCGAGATAAGACGCGCCAAACGATGTTTATCGTTACGAAGGCCCGACTAGTTCTTGTATATACACGCCAAGCAAACGTGTCCTATTTTTTTTATCTCATTCCCGAAAGCATTGTTATGGTAGAGAAAGAGAGAAAGAAGCGACTGACGAGTTTTGGCGACCGAAAAAACAAATGGTTCGTATCGATTCTACAAGCTTACGATCCCGTAATGTAAACAGTCGTTCGATTAAGGACTATTGTCTATTTCTACCAGTGTAGAATAGAAGATTACTTTAATCTAGATTTTACTTACTCTTTTCCTAATTCTTGTAATCGTTTTTATCAATGTTTAATTTTTATCCTTCATGCACATTGGATCTTTTTTGATCCAGGCGAAATTTCTCTCAAATTTCTTGGCACAGGTTTCAATTTTTATTAAATAAAGATTTTTACATTTGAGTTAAACAACTATATTTGGCAATGTAACAAAGATGTTGGAAAAGTAATCCTGAATTATTTTTTATATTTTTTGAAAACCTAGAACGGTAAAGAAATTTGAGCTGAACAAAAAAGACCGAGAGTACCTACCTACGGAGTAAATAAAAATATATGTGCCTACAAAGAGTACTAATGTAGATTAAAGTTAATCTATACTTTTTAAATTATCTTTAATCTTTATTTAATTAACTCTTCATCTCTTTCTGGTTCTAAGTATTACAAAAAGATGAAGAGAATAAGTTGAACTAAGATTAAAATTAATTTTATACATTGGTAGAAATAATAGACATAAGAGTCTATAGTTTTTAATGTTATCATTGAATAATTAATATTTAATAAAGAACTTTTCTTATTGCTGTAATAAAAAGTGACAAAATTGTCATAAAATCAATAATAGCTAAAGAGCTGTTAAATTAATAATTTTATTACCATTCTGTTATTAATGAATAACAATTATCATTTATAGAAAAGGAAAAATTGTTCACTGACGATCGTCTGGTAATAATATTAAGAATTATAGACTAAGGCAGAATATATATTCGATACGCGATGTGAATAAGCCTCTTCGAAGCCACGTTAACTTTATACTTTCGGCAGTGAGTTCCTCTTCCTTGTCAGGAGGCAGTTACTTGTGAAGTAACATCCCCGTCGTCACGGTCTACTTAGAGAGTTACGTGTAACGTACGCGTTCGGCATTCTCGGAGATCTCAGTGCGTAGAAATAACGAAAGACAAATTTCAATCGTTACCTTCTCAAAAAGAATTTCTGATAATGAAATAAAAATTTTTTTGACGTACTTAATCTTATCGCAACTTTTTGCAACATAAAAATAAAATAATATTAAGATTAGATTATTAATTCCGATTCTCCTTCTTTGAATTAAATGAGAATGACTTTATTGTCTTATATAAGACAAAGGTAATACGTATATAAATTAAATTTATATATTCTTACGTTTAGAATAAGTCTTTACCCAACATTATAACAATGCTGGTGCCATAGTATTTGGCATGAAATCAATGTTCAAGAATTAAGATCATTTTATTTTAGATTTAAGAATTTTCTATTTAAGAGTAAAATATTCTTCCGCAGACAATAAATATGATTATCTGTATATTAATCTTATTTTATAATAGATCGGAAAGTAATAGCATTGGATCTGGAAAATTTTTCCGTGGACATTCGAGAGGAAATGCGAGTTCGACCGACATATGTCTATTTCTATCACAATGTAGATTAACTTTAATCTCGGTTTAACTTACTTCTTATCTGTTCCTAGTTCTAAAAATTATAAAAGATAAAGAATAAATCAAAGCGAGATTAAAGTTAAAAATGAACATTATAGTCTCGAAATTGTTTCTCAATAATGAGTGAAAACCAAACATTTTGTTTTCAATCCAATCAGCAGTTATAACATTGAATTAAAGAATTTTTATTATCTCGAAGAATGTATGAAATTTCTTGGATTATTATAATTATAACTATAATTTGATGATTGTAATCATGAACCGATACTAATTATCATTAAAAATTACGTAAAGGATTACGTCGACTCCAACTCGGCGTGAAATTATAAAAGGTTAATAAATGCTTCTAAAATTATAAAAGCTTCTAGAGAACGATTCTCAACGTATTCACCGATGTG